AACCCAGGGAGTGATAATCACACTCCCCCCCCCCCTTGTGCACACACTCCCACACTCCCCTCAGAAGGGGAATGTGCCAAAGCAGATTAGTGTGTGGGAGTGCACGCTAATCTGCAGCAGGGTATATCATCTGACCTTGAGACAGTACAGGTCTTGAGGCAAAGAGGGGTTCCTCTTGGCCTTGAGCCATGTACAGTCTCAGGCCAGGAGGAAACCCTCCCGGCCTTGAGACTGTATACTCCACAAGCCTTTTTTTTGCAAAAAAAATCATACCTATCCCATAGGAGTCACGCCTGGGTCCTATGGGATTGGAACCCAGGTCCGCCAAAGGAAATTTATGTGCAGGCCCACACTCCCCTTCTGAGGGGAGGGGGGAAGTGTGTGCGGGATGTGCTTTACATATGAGTACCATTCCAGACAAAAACTCATTACAATAAATTTCCCAGGCACAAGGTCAAGTGTAAAATCTGGTCAGGTATCACTGAAGTTTGGATCTCTTTGGTGATCACAGTGAAGAAATATTCTTGGTAGCTGGCCAGGAAAAATAGGGAAGTTTGCAGTAGAGTCTCTTGCTTCCCACCATTTTTTTGTCTAGTGCACTACAGCCTATTGCTGCCTAAATCTGCAGTAGGAAAATAAAATTCTTGCAGATGCAGCATCTCTCACTCAAAAAGTGCCACTGTAAACTCCCCTAATGTCAAATAAAAAAAAACAACATTCAATTTTTCAAGAATTGTTGCATAAAATGTAAGAGTTTTTTTGTTAGTGATAGTTGGTATGATTGAAATTCATAATTTTCAAAGCCCATTCCTCCAAAATCAACCTGTATTTTTGACTGCAGATGAGCAAGTGAGTTGTTAGAAGCCAATATGTAGTACTGGCATGATCAGGCAGCTCAAACAAGTTACAAAATATCTCAGAATACATACTCACATCTTTATCTATTAACCGGCAAACACCTATCCCATCAACATTTGAGATTAGATCCAGTAATTTTTGTCTTCGACATGATTCTACACACTGATGTGCATTTTCCTTCTGCATTATGGATCTGGTTGTATTTCATAGCAAGTTCTTCCTCATTTCCTGTGGAATCAGATTCTCTAAGGTTGTGGATGCTCCCCCCAGATGAATCAGAAAAGTTTCTGGTTGAAAATTCTTTACAATTCAACTCCCCTATTTCAATAAAGGATACTCCATCAGAATTCATCCAGTCATGGAATCCATCCTGTCAACAAATGCCATATGAACCAGAAAGGAGTTCAAATTTCTTCCTTCAAGGGAAACCAAAATCAACTGTCTTACAAGATCATTCAGTGAGCCCATCAGAAGAACCAGAAAGAAAGAAAATGAAATACAACCATCCGAAACACCCTGCCTCTTCTTCAAATTCAATCCACCAGGATTTCACATCCCATTATGAGTACTTTTTAGATCCCAATGATTTCAATCTGTGTGGGTATTGTTTCATCATTCAAATTCTTAGAAAGAAATTGACTCTAGTGGATTTGATTTTATTGAATAATCTAGTACACACCAAATCTCATCAGGGACAAATTGAGAATGGGTTCAATTCAGATACCTCCTTCAACCATATAGAAAATTCTGTTCTGAACATCAATTATGGTATGGAAACTCAGTCAAATGAATCAAACAATGAAGTACTGAAAACAAATCAAATAGCAGCACAAACAGATCATGATACTGCACAAAACAAAACCAGAAACCTTAAAACTAAGAAGAATCCAAATTGCCTTGAAAGTGATGGCCGCATACAGGAACCACTTCTTCAACAGTTTTTTTACTACTTTCGAGTTAGATTGGGTGTGAATCCAGAAAACAGTAAATCTGAAGAATCTTCATTTCTAGCAAACATTCAAGCAAATGCACTATCTTCAGTATGGAATTTCAAGCTGCATCCAAATAGAAGGAGACAATTCATATTACTTTACAGGTATCTTCTTGGATGGGTATATGACTTGCATGAAAAAGTCTTGAACCATTTCAACATGCCAATATACACTTACAAGGAGCACCAGAAGAAATGTCTAGACTGGCTTCAAAATGAAATCCTTTTCCCCTTTCAAAGTAATAGAAATGTGTTTTTTGAAGAACTTTTTGATTCAATTCTGTATCTGAAAGATGACTCATCACATATTCCACTGGGCCAAACTGAGGCAACTTTAATAAGATATTTCAGCCAGCCAGTATATACAAGTGACCTGGCAGTGAAGGCTGCCTCTGATATCCTGGGAAGATATATAGACCAAAAGAAAGGTGAGTTTATTTCAACTAAACCCATATTATTACCAAAGCTTTTGTGTAATGAGGAATACTGATAAGGGGAAAAGATCAATGTGAATGTGCTTTTAAATGACTTATGTTGTCCTTTTTTTTAATTTGAAATCATGGGGAATGATCAGTTGATTATTCCTTGATGTGCCATTTTCAACCTCCCATCCAGGACCAATCAAAAATTGAACTGAATACAAATTTCCAAGAAAAACTTTCATTCATATCTATGCTTTCCTTAGATAATTTGAATCTTTTGGGAAGTAAGAAAATCAACTCTCTGACAAAAAATGAAAACTATATACCAGTAGTGAGATGTCGTGCATACTTTCAAAATGAATATGAAAGAATAAACAAATCGGTTGGGGTTTCTCACAGAAACAAAGCTTATTCTAAAACTTATCATCCAAGACTTCCGATAGCTATTTCGATAGGGAGTAAAATAAAGGGTTATGGATCACTCAGAATTTTGAACTTTGAAGACAAAGCTTTTATTGATTTACCAATCATTAAGAAGAGGTTTTGTGAATTGGTAAAAGTCTTAGATTTTATTCATCTTAAATTATTGGAACAATCAGATCAAGAATCACCATCAAACCATGTAGAAAGCAGAAAAACCTTACTTTTCTGGCTAATTAAACTAATTTTTCAACCATCTGATAGTCTGCCTATTATGGGAGCTGTTAGAATGGATGGATATCTTGCGCCTTGGGACCACAAAACATCCAACGATTCATTTGGATATCTTCAGGTCAAATTCATGAAAATACTTTCTCAAGACTCAAACTTTCAAGTTCTGAAAGATTTCTCCTCCTTACTCATTTGTACTTTTTACCACAGCAAGCCAACAAATTGATAACAATTTGTCTTTACAAACTCCAATCAAAAAAGGCACTGCAGAGTGAAGTTAGTTGAAAATGCCAAAGTGTACACTTGATCATGTGTTCTTTCTTTTCTATTGAATGTTGGGCATCAATTTTCAACCAAATTAGCATTTTGATACTTTTTTTATGTTTTAGACCATCTGATATTCTGCAAAGATCAGTTTGAAGTATTCTTAAGGCAAGCAGAATGTTTTTGATGGCCATAGCAGAGATATTTTAGTGATAAAAAGAGGTACCCAGCTACATTGAATAACACCCTTTGCAAACAGAATTTCCAACAAAGTTCCTAAGTGGAATTCAAGACTTTGTGGGTCTCAAGAAAGGGATCCAGAAGTGCTGGGAAGTCCTCCATTAGACAGTTTTGTTAGAATACTCATAGCTAGTAATAGTATGCTTCTATCAAAACTGATTTGTATTTAGTGTACAGCTGGCTCTGATCTGCTGACTTTGTCTGACTGAATCCAAGCTACATTTATCTTTGTGCTCAGTCAGCTGTCACAAGACTCAATATTGTCTGTGAATCTCAGCTCCCAGCCTGGTCCACCTCAACAGGTTATGTCAATGAGACCCATCATTGCCATAGCTCCTACTTGACTTTGGTCATCAACCATCCTGATTATTGTAAAGATTCCTCTCAACTACAGCCACAAAGATTCTGTTTCAGCCCAGATTTATGGCCAGGTAGCTGCAGTGGGTGTAGGTAACTGCCTGGAATCCCACTCAATTTGGACACCTACACCCGTATGTGGCAGCTGCTGGTGGGTACCTGTCATACACTGGTAGGTACCTGCCAATAGGTAGCAGTTAAATGTGTACTTTGTATCCAAGCAAGAAAAGAATCTATATCGATCTTTGAAAAAAAAAGAGACCACTAGAAACACACACAGACATATACATATTTAACACTCAGATCTAAATCAAATAAACAAGTCCTTGTGCTACATGTATAGTCAGTCCAAATGTTTTTTTTTTTCATGATTGAGCTTGGATGATGTGAGTGTGCTATAGAAAGTTGATGATAAAGGTCCCTCCCCAATACATTAATGATGGATTGATCCATATAATGTACCAAAGTATTTATTGAGATTTCATGGCCAGACAAAGGAAGGAAGCTCTTCCTTATCCAAGGCTCAGTGCTCACATGACTCTCTTCCTGCCCAGATGGACAAAGGAAGGGCTCTTTCTAAACTAATGATGTTACAATACAGATGTTCAACCTGCACATGGTTTGTTCCATATTTAACAAAAAACAAGGGGGGGGGATTAGGGGTCAACAGCCCAGAAGCTTAATACCAGGGAGCTTCTTGTCACTGCAGATAAACCACACAAGAAGACTGTTTTCCATTCATTAATTAATGAAAAAATGAATTCCGACTGTGTATCGGTTGCTGATTGGTCCTTATTTATGTAACAGATGTCCAAAGTTGTTGATGATCGGCAAGAAAAGGCCGTTGGATGTTGGAAGAAGAGGCGCCTCCCACATAAGGAAGAAGCCGATAAGGATGATGATGGGATTTTTGGATGATCGATGGGTCAGATGGAGGCCAAGTTGCAGGTCTTTCTGAGAAGAAGACAAGATATATGCAGTGTTGTATTTAGAGGTGCTTGGTTGTTTGGGAGTGTATGCTCTGGTGGCTGGGGAGAGGTGTTCGGATCTAAAATTCAACAGTTTCGCTGGGTCTCTTGGAAGCCTTGAGGGTTGTACAACCAAAGTCGTAAATTTACTTGTATATCTCCTTTTGGTTTTCTTCCCTTTGTCTCTGTCTCTCTCGTTTCCGGTCTCCTAGGGTCTCCTGCAAGTTTGGATTTATTGCGACTTTCTTCTTTGGAATCGGATCTTGAGTGTGTTTCGAGTGTGGATGAATAGGGATGGATGGCTGAGCCACCCCCCCATTGTAGAGGCTTGAAGGGCTGTTTGTTTGTTTGTTTTTAGCTCGGTTGGTTTCTGAATTCCATTATTTTATAAACCAGTGGTTATCTCCAACCGCCATTGATGGCCCTGTATCCTTCCACTACTCTATCTTCATCATCATCATCATCCTCGTCATCAACTTCTTCATCTTCGTCGTCATCAGAATAAAAAAAGAAAGATAGAACATCTCTTGATTCGCTTGTTTCGTTGGTTTTCTTTCTTCCGAACGATAGTCTCTTCTTCGTCCTCTCCCCTCACTCAGAACATAATACCGCTACTGCTTCGACAGAACGAATGATTAGAAGAAGAGTCGTCTCAATCGTTGGAAGTAAGTCGCTGATACATTGCTCAGTCTTGTTTTTGATCCTGTCTCTGGTTTGAAGGAAAGAGAAGTGTTTGATTTCTATAAACAAGTCGAGTTTCCTAAATTTGAGTTGGGAATTTTACGAAATCAAAATAGGAAAAATGGAACATCAACCTACTCCCTCCCCCTCCTCACTCGCCTCACTCCTCAACCCAGTCCACTCACCACCACCACCAACTCACCAACAACAACAACAACAACAGCAACAGCAACAGCAACAGTATCCTCCTCAACTACATCCACTCCATCCACTCAAGAAGCTCATCTCAGATCGAAACCACCATCCAACAAAACGAACCAAAACCACATCATCATCAACACTCCTGTTCATCGACCCCAAACCAATGTCAACCTTAGTAGAAAACCAACTCAAACTCACCACAACCGAACAACAACCAATCATCAACAAACCATTCAAACAAACTCATAACAACAACAACCATCCCCCTCATTCAAGACCAGAAACCAACCAAAACATATCATCAGCAACCTCAACAGCCTCATCAGCAGCCTCAGGATCAGTAACGATCGAAAGCAATCTAGAAGAATCCATCTTCGGAATCGCACCCTTCAACGACTTCACCTGGACGATCGCCCAATTCATATGGCAACACTCACGAGAATACTGGGAGAGAGGCGAAGGAGGACTGATCGAGGTGGAAGCCAAGCTAGGGACGATCAGGGACCGAAGGAGCCAATCCTCGGAGCGGATGGAATACCCGATAGCCACCGAGTCGCCGATCCTGGACACCAGTCAGACCAAGTTCCAGAGCGACATGCCCCCCAAACACCATGCGACACTCAACAGACTCCTCAACCAACGGGTGACCGAGACGTGTTCGGCCGGCTATCTGGGCGCCAAGGTCGACTATCTCCATCTCAAGGAGGTCGACGAGTTCCATGATGGCAAGGTCAGAGTCAGTCGCGATTGGAGCGGAAAGAACCCCCAATCACCGCCCCGCTCGATCGTCAAAGAGAAACTCGCACATCTCGATATCCATTGTCCCGGCAGATCCTTCGACTTCAGGATCTCCGTCAATGTCGAACATCCCGGTACATATCATCCATACATCTCTCTCCTCACTCAAATCTAATCACTCAATTTACTTACTTTCTTTTTTTTTTGTAGTCCCTATGCCTCCTGAACACTCTAATCCTAGCTACAAACGGATCAAGGATCGTCTTTCGTATTCCCATCAGATATGTCAGATCGATCTGACTCAAGTGAAATCAACAGATCAGGTAAATCCATTTGAATCCTTGAAAAAAAAACCCCAGCAAAAAAAAAGCAGAGCATCATCACTAACTGAGAAACCACTTGGATTGGGGGATAATAAACACACTGTTTTTTTTTAGCAAAAGGGATCGACATCGACACACGAGGTAGAAGTGGAGTTCAAAGACTCGTGTGAGTTACTAAGAGCGGCGTCGGTCTGGGCGCGGGAGCAAGAAGAGGGCCCAGAGTCAGGGGCCAGACGAGCGAGTAATGGGGATCAGCAGCATCCCGGATCGGACGAGGACGGCGACCAGAGACCGCCCGGGTCGCGGAATCTTCTTAGTCGCGATCAGGATCGACTCGACGCTCAGCAGTATCTCCTCATGGTCGAGGTCTTGTTGAATAACGTTCGCATGCTTATTCGCAATTGTTGATCCCCCCCCCTCCTCTCTTTTCTTTCGGGCTCTTTTCGTTATCTTATATATCCTTTAAATTATTTTCGTTTGTCTAGTCCTATACATACATTTTTTTTTTCTTAAGATATACATAAGCCTGATGATTATATACAAAGTTCTTTTTATAGATACATATATTATAACCCGTTGAGCCTTTACTTTTGTTTCCATTGTTGCTGGGCTGAAGAAGAAGAAGAAGAAAAACAAAGGAAACAGCAGCACAAAAAGTGAAGAAGAGTGGGTGTGGAGCCTTTCTTTTTGTGTTTTGAGCATGAGAGGCAGAGGGAGGGGGTTTATAGACAGGGGTCTCACTGTGAGTGTGCTTGGATGCTTATATTGTAGGATCTCCTCCAAATCAACCTCAAGGAGTTTCTTGGGTTGAGGGTAGGTGATTAGCCATGTGACAGCCCAGTTGATGGCTGTGATATGTTTGAGTGAGAGTACATATAAAAAGAGAGGGAAAGAGAAAAAGAGAGAGGGAGAGAAAGAGAACTCAAGAAAGAAAGAAAACACGGAATCGGAAACGATGACAGCGATCACCCTCCTAGCCTCCTTCTCCTTCTCGCTGCTCGGCTACTTCCTCACCAGCTCACTCATCCCACGACTATCAGCCACACTCATCTCCGCCGGACTCAAGGGGAAAGACCTCCTCAAGGGAAACTCAACCGGCGGCGGCGACTTCCATCATCATCCCCGCTCTTCTTCTTCTTCATCTAAAACAACAACAGCAAACACGCCCGAACAACCTGGCTCAGATCAGCATCAGTTCATGTAAGTTGGATGGTTCTAAGCTTTCAAAACAGTGAACAGAATAAGCAAAGCTGATTGTTTGGAAACAGGACAGCCCAGAATCGACGGGCCTGATAGCAGGAAGCGTCTACGTGTTGATCCTCTGTCTATTTGTGCCGATCCCATACTACACCCATCTGTTGCCGGACAGCTTTCTGCCGGGCTCGACGGCCTTCTTCACGAGTGGTCCGGCCAGTCCAGGGCCAGGGCCGGCCGGGGACGCCCAGGCCGCCAGACCGCCGTTCCCGCTCTCCAGTCTCACCGCTCATCTCGCGAGCATCCTCTCCCTCCTTTCTGCCGTCTTCCTCGGCTTCCTCGATGACGTCTTCGATATTCGTTGGAGATTTAAACTCCCTATTCCCAGTTCGTCCTTCTTCCTTTTTTTGGGGGCTTCTCTGTTGTGCCGATCACTCATTTTTGGCGATCTCGCTCCGTTTTTTTTCTAGTTATCGCTTCCGTCCCTCTCTTGACAGTCTATGCCGCCTCGTCCGGGAGCACGGATATCATCATCCCTCATATCTTCGGCCTTCGAGCGTTGTTTGGCGTCGCAATGACCAACGGATTATTGAGCATAGGTAAGACCCTTCCCACCCAAAGAACAAACCCCATTTTTTTCATATTCGAGATTCTGAATTGATAAAAGAAAAAATGGGATGGGATATATAAATGAAGGACCATTATATTACCTATACATGTCGATGTTATCGACGTTTTGCACGAACAGTATCAACATTTTAGCGGGCATCAATGGGGTCGAAGTGGGCCAATCGCTGATCATCTGTCTGTCGATCATCTGCAACGATCTGCTCTACATCCATCTCGACCTCGCCGAGCTCGGGCTCCCGCATCGGCTCTCATTCGGCTTCGCTAACGGCTCCAAAGCCCTCGAGGATCGCCATCTGTTCTCCCTCTGCTTGATGTTGCCCCTCTTCGCCGTCATGCTCGCGTTGATCAAATTTAATTGGTTCGTCATTCTCCTTCCAATATCTTACAATCTAGTTTTTTTTTGTTTGGTTGAACTTTAACCTCTCCCTTTTTCGAAAAAACAAACAACAGGTATCCAGCTAGAGCGTTTGTTGGAGACACGTTTTGTTACTTCGCCGGAATGGCGTTCGCGGTCGTTGGAATCCTGGGCCATTTCTCGAAGACCTTACTGTTATTCTTCATCCCGCAGATCCTGAACTTCCTATATTCGAGTCCGCAACTATTTGGGATCCTGCCGATATCTCGGCACCGCTTACCGTCGCGGGATCCGGTCAAGAACGTCTTAAAACCGTCGATCGTGCTCTTCAAGACCCCTCTGCCTGCCTCACCGACTCTGAAATCGTCCCTCTTGAAGGCTTTCGAAACGCTCAGATTGATCCAATTGGTCCGAAATAAACACAATCTCGTCGTCGGCTGTTCTAATCTCACTCTCTTGAATCTGGCCCTCATTTGGCTCCCTGGGCTCAATGAACGCCAGCTCTCCTCAACCATCCTCGCCTTTCAGTTCTTCTCGAACTTCTTCATCGGCTTCTTTATTCGCTACTTTCTTGCTGACTTGTTCTATGATCCGCGGCTTCGATAAAGTTACCTTTCCCACTCTCGTACTACTTCTCAATATCTCTTATTCTCAACTCGGGTTTCCCTTTCCCCTTCTTGTCTCGTTTATTTCACTTTTTTTTTTTTGTTCCCAACGAAAACCCAAAATCATGATCTCTCTTTCTTTTTGATCAATCTTTCTGACTTACATATAATATTGATTGATCAAGTGAGATTATTTGGAAAAACAATGTGAATGTTATGTAAGCAGTTGAACGTTTTTTTAAGAAGAAAAAAAAAGACAAATTAGGTTGTTATAGTGGACCACTTCCCGTCACTATCTGCGGGTCTCTTATGTAGCGATTTATGTAGCGCCTCGAAAGCTAGATTTCCCAGCGAGATTGTTCACTTTTCGGGTTCGAATCAACATCCGTAAAAGGGTCCCAGATCCGACGGGAAGTCCTCTCAAAATATACGGTTAGACGAACACGATACTTGTTTGTTGACATGTCAAATCCAACCCCGTTTTTCACACTTGACCTTGCGAAGCGGACCTCTGATGAGCCGCGAGGTCAACCGGCTTGCCACCACACTGGCCGCCGGAGCTCGAGGCCAAGAAATCTTTACCTCTGGACCGCGTTAGGTTATAAAGAATGTCAAGGGCTTCTTGAGCTCGACAAGTGGGGAGGGCAAGATCTCGACAAGGTGGGCCTCCGGACGGCGAGCTCATTGAAACTTAAAAAGTAGCAAGGTCTTGTTGATCTCCAGAAGCGGCCCTCCTCCGGCCAAGGTTTTGACTTGGCCGAAGTCCGGCCTGTGAGCCGCGAGGACGCCATCTGACCCAAGGGGGCCTTCGGACACTTTTGGTAGCGAGGTCTAAAAACGCTGAAGGTCTCTTGTCTTGACCTCACAAAAATCGGACCTCCGGCGAGGTTTTGACTGGGCGAAGTGGGCCTTGGAGCCGCCAGAGGTCAAGAATGGCCAAGGCTTGCCCTCTCGTCGAAGTGGACCGCCGAACGGCGAAGATGGCTTGTATCCGTCTCTTCCCAAGGCAGTCTCGGCCTTTGCTCATGTCCTGTTGCGTCTCAATCGACGTGTAAATTGGAAGCCCGGAGATGCACAAGTTCAACTGGCGACTTCCCGTTTTTTTTTTTTTTGGACTCGCAATAAATCAAGCCAATATTCTGCAAAGCTTTCATTCAACGATTTCATTGCAAGTGGGATCAGCGTTCGGTATAAGGGGGCAAAACAGAAACGTATTATATACAAGAGTAAAGCACATGATCAGCAATATTAAGCGACAACAACAGAAAGTAACCCGGAGCAGAAACGACAAGGATGATCGCTAGAAAGTCTGGAATCCGAAATCGACCGAAATGTGCGTGTTTCGAGAAAAACAGGCAAAAATGATCTCTTCTAGAATTTCTTCAAGATTTGTACGCGACAATAGAAGCCCCGCCGTCGAAGGTGAGTCGTTTGCGGGTGCGAATGAGAAAGAAGCCGGTAGCAAGGGGTTCGCAGGCCAAGGAGTCAGACTTGATGCTCAGAGCGGTAGGAGCGACGACGACGGCCTCTCCAAGTCCGAGTCTAGAGATCGTCCGAGACCAGTCCGAGTCTGCTTGGTGGTCCTGATCGACGGAGATGTGTTTGCTGAGATGCTTGATCCAGGTTGGGGAGCTGAACCGGTGCAGAACTAGGAACGAGACCAGGTCGAGAATCGCATCCGGAACTACCGTCGGCTCCTGTGTGGAAATGATCGTCCGGATCCCAAAGTGTCGCTGTTGTCGGATCAAGGAGGTCATCGATTCCGTGAACCGTGCCGAAGACGGATCTGAGTTTAAGTACTTGTGTGCCTCATCTAAGACTACATCTCATTGTGAACCATAAAGAAAATAAGATAAAGAAAGCTTAAGTAACTGGAAACATCGGATGATTTTTTACCAATAACCCAATCTTTCTCTCAATAACCAAAACAGATAACTCACGCAAGACTTTCCCAGTTTCCATACGTCGTTCGACAAACAACCCAACAAGGATCTCAAACAAAGCGATGACCAAAGATGAATTGGTGAACGGATCACGCAGATCGACAATGACCAAGTGTCCAGGCTTGAAATAAGAGGACACGTCCCAGGCTCTGTTTCCCGTCAAGTAGGAATCTAACATCTCGATCCTCATCTTGTATGAACTTTCTTGGGCGGGGTTTAAGGGCTCCTTAGACATCTTCTTCTTGAAAGCTTTCATTTCATAACAAGAAAAAAAAACGGGTGTGTGTTTGAGAATTAACTAAACGCTTGTTGAAGGAAAGGTAACTTTTTTTTGAGGGGGACCTGGGCGTGTCAAAAAGAGAAAAAGAATATGAATGAAGCGCCTTACTATCGTAATTAAATCTGTCAGCGCCCATCGTCCTAAGGATAGTCATTGCTCTTTGTAAATATAACGGCATAATCTACGAGAAGCGAACCAAATTTGAGTGAGCAAGAAGAGTCAAATCAGAAGAGCGTACACAAGAACACGGGGCAATATTACTGAGGTGACTTACGACACTGTCATCAAATCCCATCAAGGTTAACATCCTACTGGAATTTAAATTTGACGTGGAGAGGTAGAATGGCATGACATTCACGCCCTTCAAAGGTTTATAAATCCTTCGCATCGTTTCCAAACAAGTCGGCCTATCATTTTATCAACGAAAAAAAAAAGTATGTTTGGTGAAAGTGAGTTAGACAAAAGAAAGATACTCAATCTTTAGATAGAGAAAATCACGAATATTGGGAAAACTCACGATACTAGTACTGTCACTGGGACTGATGAAGTCGACTTTAAACCTAGTTGGGCTCGCGTTGCTGGTAATCCAAGATACGCAGATTCACAAGGGTAATTCACACTTCCTCTATCATAATGTAAGCTATGTTGTAGAAAAAGAAAGAGATCGACATTAGTTTTGAACATGAAAAATATTCGAGTTTATATTTTTTTAAAAATAAGAGGAAGGCGAAAGAAGGTAGAAAAAAAAATTACCACAGTCCGGCCAGAGGTTTGGGCAGAGTACCGATCCGTTTATCGACTATTAAGCACCCTTCCAATATGACTGAGGCACTATGACTCTTTCCGGATCCCTGAACGCCGCAGATGAGTGTGCTGAAGGGCGTATTAACGTTCAAGTACAGTTTAGGGTTGGCAGTGATTCTTGGGAAGCCGTGTGCATATTGGCCGACGATGCTTCCGACGACAGCGCGTTGAGGAAACAGACCGGCGGAGGACTTTTCGGCTTCGCCTGTGACTAGGACCGCATTACGGGTACTGTGTTCGAGAGTCGAGTCTAAAGTATTGGTCTGATGTGATCCTTGGACTTGTAGGAGCTCGAGCTCCGGGTCATGATTGAATACCGGTGGCTTGAACGTCGGGACCGAACCTGAGCTTATTGAATTCAATTGGAACGTAAAGTCGCTACCAAATCCAAAACTCGGCCGGGCTAGCATTAATGACGGTGATGGTTGGGATATCTTGCTAGATGTATTATAAGTAACCTGATCGTCCTCATTCGGTAAGTAGGTGCTCGATCGACCCGAATATTCCATCTTGGGTACTGCGTTAATGAGGTTCAGGAATGAAGACTAGAAATTGGAATTCTTTACGGGGTATTTTGGAGGAATGAAGAAAAAAATATAATTAGGTTCTGTTATTGTAGTCTTTTGATTTCAAACGTATCTTAATGCAGATGTGAGATGGGTGAGGAACTAATGGCGATGGATTATTGATTGTATTAGGATTCGATGGGGCGCTGGATATTTATTAGCGACGAAGGGCGCCGAGGGAATCAATACCTACCGGCATTCATGTCAAGATAAAAAGCATCACGTCGAGCCATGTGCGTAGACTGGCTTAACCATCAACTTGAAAGAGAACGATGTCTTTTCGAGATTGAGAAAGGAGTAAAGCATATTCCTAGTATATCTCAACGCCAGCCGTTATGATCAGTTTCTGTTCTTTTGAATGCTTTATAAAGAACTTGTGCGAAGATCATGTGAGCGTTGCTTGACATTCCCATGAGTACTGAGCAGAGTGATCCACAAGGGGAGAAGAGAGTAGTAGGAAAAGGAGACAAGCAGCAGAAAGGAGACCGACCGCTGAGATGTGGACGGCTCGACAAGGGAGCTGGCCGTGTTCTGGAGATCCCGAAGACTCAGGTTGGTTTTCCAACGGTCAGCCGCGGAAGCCGAGCACTAAAGCCGAGGAACAAGAGCGAGAGAAAGGCAACCCACAACTCAAATGACTGATATATCGTGATGGCGGATTGGAAAGTTCCGAGACCTAACACCTCGACGGGCTCTACATATTGCTGTTCATTGAAAGTTCATTGTCTACATATTTGTAACCGACTGATAACTTTCCCCAACCACGGCCAAACTGGAAAGGCGCTGCAAGCGGCTAGTGTTACGTACGTCGCGTCATTCCAAGTCAGCAAACGCGTCTTCTCGCGAGCGCCCTTGTCGATCTTCACTTTCACAATCATCACTGCAGTCAGCCAACGAGCACACCCAGGCCCGTATGCGGGTCCCTGGGCAGTTTGACCCATCCCGCACATTGGTATACTCTCTTATGCTTTGACACGGGTTGGTGAGAAGTGCAAAGAGAGTAAATCTCAGTCATCAACTGTCAGAGAGACAAAGTAAAACAGACTGGAGAAACAAGGAAAAGATGAGAAAACAAACAACTAAACTTACCCTGGGGTGACAGTGAGAAGTATGTAAAGAGATTCCACTGGCACTTTTATTATGTCACACTACTAGCACAGTGTGACATAACCTTAGTTCATAAGGGTACTGCATCACTGCCAAAATGATTGTATCAGATTGATACATCTGGCATTATGTCAGATAAAAATATCTGATATTACATCAGGAAAAACTGGGATTGTATCTACCAGAATTGATATTGTATCTACCTAAAATGATAGGGGCTTGGTTAAACGACTCCCAAAAAGTGGAGAGCCGACTCCCAAGCCCCGGAATCCCCGAATTTTGGGAGTCGAACCCCCAAAACCTTTGACTGGTTTGGGAGTCGACTCCCAAAAAAAAAATATTAAAAAAAATACCATCCCCCGGTCGGTTTAGGAGTCGATCCTCCAAAACCGACCAGGGTTTGGGGGTCAACAAAGCAAAAGACCCACCAAAGCAGCCGGGAGGAATCTTCCCGGCCACTGGGAGTACACTCCTGACGGCCGAGGGAAAACACCTCGGCCGCTAGTTTCCCTTGGCCCTCGGCCGCGCCACGACGTACACTCTCGATGGCTGAGAGGTACACCCTTGGCCATCGAGAGTGTACTCTCAGCGGCCAAGGGCCGAGGTGTTTTCCCTCGGCCGTCGGGAGTGTACTCCCAGCGGCCAGGAAGATTCCTTCCAGCCGCTTTGGTGGGTCTTTTGCTTCGTCGACCCCCAAACCCTGGTCGGTTTTGGAGGATCGACTCCTAAACCGACCGGGAGATGGTTTTTTTTAAAATTTTTTTTGGGAGTCGGCTCCCAAACCAGTCAAAGGTTTTGGGGGTTTGACTCCCAAAATTCGGGGATTCCGGGGCTTGGGAGTCGGCTCTCCACTTTTTGGGAGTCGTTTAACCAAGCCCAAAATGATATTGTGTCTATCATGAAAGATATTACATTGGAACACCCTATTCAATGTCAACATAACTGAATTCATACCAGATTTTTCTATCTGATTTAATGCCCATGGGCTAAAAATTTGTATCAGATGTAAAAATCTGATATAAAATCAGTTATGTTGACATTGAATAGGTTGGGCTGATGCAATATCTGTTATGATAGATATAACATGGTTTTAGGTAGATACAATATCACTCCTGATAGATATAATACCAGTTTTGCCTGATGTATAATCAGATTTTTTCATCTGATGTAATGCCAGATGTGGGAATCTGATATAATCACATTTGCAGGGCATCCAGGCCACCCAGACCACAACCACAGATATTGGGTAGCTACCTGGATGGCCCAATGGGTTGCAAGTTTACCTGTCTAGCCAGGGTTGTGAAAAGTAAAAAATAAAATGTTTTTTTTCCAAAGCTTTAATATTCATTTTAGATGAGTAAAATTACTGAGGAAAAGAAAGGATAGAACATGGGAAGAATGATTAGAAATGAACATATGGGAAAAAATGCTTCTCAGATGGTTTTAAGTAGCTGTTGAGTGGGGCATTCAGGGATTCCTTCCAGACAATGAGGTCTTTGCATCTCATTGACTGAGAGGAACCCCTTTTGGTCAGTGGGGTACAGCTAGAGATAGTTGCGGGGTATCCGTTGCCGATACCCGCTATCTGCTGACGGATACCCCCCAGCGCCAATGGATACCTGCCAGGGGGTGCGGATGGCCCTTTTCCCCCCAAACCTGGTGGGTATCTGGGTATCCCCAGGGATACCCGAGGCCAATGGCCAGCTGGAAGGGTTTCCCTCCCGCCGGAAAGGCTGCACCTCACCGTCTGGAAGGAAATCCTTCCAGTTGACAAGGTACATGTACCTTGCCATCTGGAAGGAAACCTTTCCAGACGGTGCCTCACCGACCATTCAAAGGGCGGGTATCCAAAGATACCCGCTAAGGCGGGGGGATACCCCCCAGCGGCTGCGGATGGCCATTTCCCCGGAAAAAGCATCCGGATATCCAGATGTGCTAGGGCCACCTCTAGGTACAGCTACCTTGCTGACCGGGTGCAATTCCTTCTGGTCAGGTGGGACTCCAGAGCAACTCCCAAACCCCCTCATGCATGAGGGATGGTTTGGGGTGCTGACTCCTAAAAAATCAAAGAAGAAGAAAAAAACATAGTATGATGACTCCCAAAAGTGCCCCCCAAATTAGAAGACAACTCCCAATGGACGCCCACCAACAGTTGTTGGGAGTTGTTTTTCCAACCCCAAAAATGAAAAGGCCTCTAATTTTCCAACATTCATTTTGGCAGTTAGTTAAACAACCCCCAAGGATTTCTTGTGGTATACTTCATGGATACCCATACACAGCCATTCATAGTTTTATGTTTTCTTATATTTCTACTCACAAATCACTTGGTATGGATAAATAAGTGGATTCTAGAGTTAATTCTATTCTTGGACACCACAGATGGTGTGCTTTTAACCAACACTGAAACTGGGACAAGACATGTATTTGGTATTTGTGTGTATTAGTGGGGTTCACATTTAGATTTTTCCAGATGCAAGTTTAGTGAGCCTCAGAAACGCATAAAATAGGATTTTTAAGCATTTTTTGTAACTCACTTCACCAGCATGTGACCGATCAATTCAAGGACCTCAGAATCTTTTATTTTGACTCTGTACAGCACCTCAGCAACATGTAGGTGTTGCTCAGTTGAGTAGTTGTGTCCAGAAGGTGCTCAGCAAGTCCTCAATTTTATGATAAAACAAAGCAACCAGAGCAAATTTTAAGTAGGGTCAGAAGCAAAAAAATCAAATGTGAACCCCACTAATCTATTGTCTCTGTTTTGAGACTGATACCTGGTATCAGTATTTCCTTGTTTGATGAGAAAATCCACTGTCTTGGATTTGTCTTTACCCATTCAAAAAATTGCCTTTGTTTTTTTCATTGAGACAGCCAAATATCCTGCCTATCAAAGACATTTTTGGTGGGATCAGCCCTCTGAGACTATACACAATACTTTTCTCACTATTCAAAGAATATGTGTGTATTGTATCATTAAAGTGAGAAAGCACAATGACTGGTGTGACTGGTATTTTTGGGTATTCAAATTCTGAGACAATACAAATAAACACCTGATACTGTCTTGTCTTGTCTCAGTTTCAATGTTGTTGTAACCACCCCAGGTTAAAAGCTACAACCCTGTACATGTTTAGATGATAAAATAGGTATGTACAAACCAACACCCAAATGTGATCCCTTGCATGTGCAGGCAACTTCAATTCAGTTGAATCTGCACTTGTGTGCAGCATTCAGGTGTACAAAAGTGGCCCATCAGGCAATACGTGCAGATGATAAATACAGGATGGCATCATTTCATCTTGCAAGCTTCAGACTACAGCATGCAGTTTTCCAGGACAGCTACAAACACTCACATGCACAGCCAGCAGAAATATCTCATGCTTCTTCCATATTGCATCATGTAGACTGTACAACCAGCCAAAACCCCTCATGTAAGCTGCACAAACAGCTAAATTCCCTCATTTATTGTAACCTTGGGAGCTAAGTTCCCTCACACTTTTCTACATACAAAATAACACACATTCCATACCTTTTTCTGCCTGTTAAACAACAGTGTATCTTTTGATACACCCCACTGTCACTATATTAAAAGCTGCCAATCTAATGGAGGACTTCCTGTCGGATCTGGGAGCCTCGCAGTTTTCGATTTAGACCCAAAAAGTCTAGATTTTCACAGGGAAATCTAGCTTTTTCGGCTCTAAATGGAAACTGGGAGACCCGCAGATGTTGACGGGAAGTCATCCAATTGTTGAGTTTTCACCTCTTTTGGCCTACTCCTCCCTAAAATCACCCTCATTTCTTCTCATCCTTTTCTCTCTTTCCCTTTCTTAAATCATCTTGACCTAAACTGAACTATAGTCAATCATAGCTGTTTTTTGTGTTGAATCTTATGCTCACTTGTAGTCTAATTAAAACTCCTCATGGCAATTTTCATCTAACAACTCTAGTCTTATTGATTGATTTCTTTCTTTTTCTGGTTCATTATTTGATTCATTAAAATCTGATTGTCTAGAATTAACAACTCTAAACATTTGTGATGGAGGATATGTTTTGTCATGATTAATTTTACTAGCTTGTCTAAAAGAGACTGAGAAGACTTGTCCGGTTATTTCTTCCATGAACTCATATTTTTCCTTCTCTCAGTTTTTATTCAAAATCATCTTTTATTCATTTTCTCCCAACCACATGTTGGCCACTTGTATTTAGTCTACTTAAGCCAGCTTAAATACAGTGAATAAAAAACTCATTGGTTCTTTCATATCATTTTCCGTGAGCCTTTCCCAAAAAAGTCCCTCATCCTTTTTTGAGCCCTTTTCCTCAAACTCCTCAAAATCCTTCCCCTCTCGAGCTCAGAATTTCAACACTAATATTGGTGGTCTTCTTTAGTGTAGTACACAGGAAAGGCAGAGCTTACCTCACACATCCCTTTACACACTCAGAAAACAGTTCTCAGGAAGACTTTTGAGCTTCACATTGTCAATGACATAGACCATTGACAGAAATCTGATGGGAGTTGCTCAGAAAATATTTTGGAAAATTTTAATTTCACAATGATTCAAAACTGAACCATCAGACTTTGCACTCCTTCACAAAACCTGGCAAGCCGGCATCAAGGAAATTGAACATGCACTCTCATGATTTTTCTGTGGCACAAAAACTGATTCACCAAGCAGAAGAGACAACCAAAATTGAAACCAATACATGATGTGTATCTGGATTGGTCCATATTGTATTGTGATACTTTCCAATCTTTTGTATCTGTATCATATCAAGGCCACTGGGAAATACATCAAGCCTAACAGCAGGCCTCAAGGGTCTATGTCTCACAGAGAGGCCTGGGTGGAAAGTTGATTTTCTGGTGCAGGAGGGAGATACAGTAGGCCAAAAAAGTGGCTCTTTGCTACTGATGCATGGCACAATTGAAGAGCAATAAACATAGGGGAAAATTTGGAAACATAATTAACTAAAAGGTGTTGATCTTGCTCAATGTTCCATGTTTTCAGAATCAAATCCTCCCTCCAGGTGCAGAACTACACTTCACAACAAATGCCAAAAGAGTGAAAGACAAGAGAAATGCGTGAAAGCACACAGCCTGTGAAAACCAACACTCAAGTTTAAACACAATCGTGGGGTTCACAATAGTGTTTTTTGCTTCTTGCACCCATTTTTTTTTCTTGCATGCACATTGCTGACATAAAATTTCTCAGTGGAAATTCAAACTTTCACACTAACTTTTAATTCCACAGAAGTGCTTCAGTTTCTTGTGCAATAAGAGATTGCTTCTTGCAAGAAGTACTCCCTATTCCAAACCCCAACTTTATACATGTTTCTATAAATTGATCAATTCCGGGTTTGTTCCACTTTCGACCAAAACACTGATTCTACATCTACTTTTCAAACTCACAAATGGCCGCAACCATGTATGCACTCTATGTTGGAATTTCACATTTGTGTCATCTCAAGTCCTCTTTCATCTCTTCTCATGTCACTCTTTCTTTTTTCCCTCCAGTTGCATATTCATTTCTCCTTCTGTCCCACAATCTGGCCCCTCTCAGTTGTAATAGATAAATAACATTGTGAAGTTAGAAATGCAAAAATCATCTACTCTCTGTGCACTTTTCCCTGAGGTCTCTACAGCATACAACCTCTTATAGTGTGAGTGCTTTTCCACCACACACGCTAGCAGCTCTTGCCCCTTTTTTGGGCCTTTAGACATTGAGTTTTCTCTTGAGCCTTTTGTCTCAATACTTGTTTCCGGTCACCATCTTTCCCAGTCTCTCAGTCTCTTTGCCATAAAATTTCAACACTCTAAATTAAAAACGCAACCCCTTGTTTTTTACCAGCAATGGGCCGCTAAACTACACTATGCTAAATGGCCCACTAAGATTAGCATAGCATCCCTCATAACAGTGTGCCAACCCTGTAGTGTTAGTGCTCTGTTGGTCCCACTATGCTGCACTACAGCACTTTTAGAGGCAACAAGCACTAAAAAACGCTCATAGCAGGCCCTTTTTTGTGGCCTGTAGTCATGGTTGAATTATGCTGCACACCTCTCAAAGTTAGTGAATTTGGCTATGTTGCAATGTGCTAATGCTACTGTTAGTGTAGCTGGTCCATTGTTGTCTGTATAACCCAAGGTCAATTCAATATTTCATGACAGGTTGTTGAACCTTTTGTCATGCCTAATTGTATAACTTAGGGATATTCTACACACTCCTAATGAAATTGCCTCAAAAAGGTTCCCCTATTATTGCTCCTGGGTCAATTAACATTCCACTCCCCATCAGCTCTGGCATTTCCTTCAATGACCCGGATAATGTCAATGTCATAGAAATCAGACTGAAACTCAAGCTCTTAGGTTTGTTTGGTTCCTTATCCATGACATAAGCTAAAGACAAGGTCTAAATGGATGGTTTTAATTCTTGGGCTTCATAAGTAACACAATGTCAAATGGCCAGGTGCTGTGGCAAAAATGCATTGGTTAGAGGTTCCTTTGCTGTGCTGTTGGCCCATGGCAGGAAGTGGGCCAGTTCTTTTAAGTTTCTGAGCCTTTTGGACCAGAGCTCGATTGCCGAACATTTTTATGACTCCTGCAGTTGTCTACCCAAGATGTCTGATTGGGTTATAAACATCACTCAAAATTGTCCCGCACTCTGAGAAACCGGGTCGGTTAGTCGGGTGAACAGGCCGGGTCGGGGCCCAGCCTTACCTCAGCCCGCCGTTAAACGGAGGGTAGCCCGGGGGCGAGGCCGAGGCCACAAGTAACGCATAACCAACAAAATCAACTTCGAAATGCCCCTCAACTTGGACGAGGTAAGCTCAAAGGTTCAGCTTACTCTGGCGCGTATGTTCTGTGCGCATATTATGAAGATCGGATAGAGCGCTAACACTCCTTGATTGAAATCGATCTTGGCAGGAATTTAAACTTTACTCAACAAATGCCGAACGAGAGAAATACGATAACCAAGCAACGCTCTATAGCATCATCCTTTCGCTGGAATATCTGGAACGAGCGTATGTTCGGGACTCGATCACCCAGGCCCAGTAGGTGTAGCTTCACCAAATCTCCGGCTGTCACACACACCTCTCTCTCTCCCATTCCTTCATGGTCGGTCCCTCAGACAGTATGGCAGATGCGCTGGGACCGATCGGAGAGTGTACTGAGATCAATGGAAGTGCCGATTCCTGATGACTTGTTCGAGTCTCTTTTTTTCAATGATCTCTCGGATTAGATATACTCCTGCCTGTGGACGTCTGCTGGGTCATTTCAAGACACTGTTGAACTTAGTTGGTGGTGACTTACAATGGATTCAGAACTTCATGGCTGAATACAGAGTGCGTCTTATTCCTATGTATCTCAATTTAAGTCTCCCAATTCTCAACCACCAGCTTCTAGATGGATTGTCAGGCCGCTGCAAATCGAATCCGAGTCGGTGTCCCAGCCACGGTAGAACATTCCTCCGAGGAAGGAAACGAGTCATCGAAAGCCTCTCGGGGAGTAGCAGAAACCACACAAGTAAACAATTTTCTTCTCGATGTCAACTTATTTTTTTTTTCTCTGAGTTGCCCCTAAAAACCAAACGCGTCTATGGTAGAACTTTATTACATTTATGGATGCCCTGAAATTGAAGATGAGAGCGAAGGATCAACTCCACCCATTACTCAGCGAACTTATGGTGGGCTATTCGAAGTTTCCAAAAAGTCAAGAATGGGAGGGTCGTCCGAAGATTTTGCATTGGTGGGTCACCGGGATCATGATCTCCAGCCGCTCTCAATCTCGAATATCTACTAATCCAACTCGAAAATCCCGTGGAAATTGTTGTTTGCTGGCCGGTTCCAATAGGTTGATAACTCTGAATTCGATGAGGGCAAGTGATGAAATTACGGATGAACAATCAAGACAGGTTAGTTACATCACCTCGCAACTTACTGCATAACAGAAGAGTCTGCCGCGTATATCTGACCCTTACAAATGAACCTCCAATCCAAACCCAGATCTTGTTTGACATCGACTCAGCCTACCAGGAATTCTATAAAAGTCTTACCTGAGTTCCTTTACTATTGGCCTACTGATGCCCCATGCTTCACTTGTAAATGCTCAGATTTTGTATTTGTTCTTTGAGGCCCCTGTGTGAATTTTATGTGTATATTTATCAAACTCGTGCTACCAAATAACCGCGTTGAGACTACCAGATGTTTTCAAAATTTATCTCATCCTGAAAGCCTATTTCTCGCGGGGCTACCGAGTGGGTCTTGTTCATTTGTGTATATTCAAGCATGGATTACATTTGGGGTGCTGGTCAGAATTTCGTTTACAACAGGTATGTATGAGAAGCGCAGAATGATAGTGCAGGTAAGAAGTAAGCACTCTTCGTTTGCTCGCGCACATAGTCTGAGCTTTTGTTTTTGCTTCGTGAAGTAGAAAAAAAAACGAGTTGAGTGGGTTCTTCTTCCGTTCAGTCAATAAATGTATGGGATAATCTTCCAGGGAACAAGTTTCTTGTCTGTTGCGTGTCGGCATGAAAAAGAGAAAAGGCAAGCTCTTAATTAGATTCATGAAGATGCGAGACAAGTCAATCATGAAATGGAACGTTGAAGGAACCGATAACTGACATTTATTCCAATCGGCTTTACCGTATTTTTTCTCGCACGCATGTTCATCTCTCATTTGTCTGTGGACCAATAGAATAGCAAAGTAGATCGCATACTAAAGAAACCGAGTTCATAAATGTGATCATCAGTTTATTGATACATCCCAAGACTTCATTTATTAGTGATTTAAATCTTTACTAACAAAGTAGGTAATTGGGGTGGAAATGCCTGTGGGTAAACACCATGCCCATGCCATGATCCAATCTCCCAAGTAATTGGGATGTCTCGACACTCCCCACCAACCGGAGATCAAAAGCCTCGTCCCTCTTTCGGTTTCCATAAACTTCAAGCCTGATAAGGAATTCGATTCAAACCCAATCAGCCTAAGACACTCGTAGGAAGAAGAAAAATATTGACCGACCTTTAGGGTTCTCCGATCTGCGACGAAAGGCGTTCTTTTCTTCATTCGAAATTCGGAAAATTCCGTAGCCCACGAGTTGGACAGCGAGCACCAACGCCAGTTCGAAATTGGAGAGATGTAGTGGTACGAAGGAGAGATATACTAGTTGCAGTGAATAAGTAAATGGTACCCAAGTCAAGTCTCCCACCGATAACATGAACCCAAATCCATCAGTCGTGATATCCATTTGAGTCAAAATTATGTCCTGATACACGGGTTCAAGCCAGTCAGAGGTTATATGACAATGCGCATCGTTGGGGTCAAGAGAATCGGACATATAATGAAAAGAAAAAGAAAATCACCTCGTTGTATTCAGCATCAAAAACATACCAAAATTGGAAGATGAAGGCAAGGAGGATGCTGTTTGAGGGTTTTCCGAATTCGTGGACTTGTTTGATAACCCAGCAGAAGTCCAATAACGCCCACAAAATCAGACCAGGCCGCATCTCGTTGAAGGTTTTGATATCAAAGCTCGCAATTCTTGGATTTAGCTCTCGACCGATGAACCACTAATAGAGACCCAAAGAATTAATCACTCGAGTTGACACTCAATCATGATCTGTCAAATGTGATAGAGACTTACATCGTAGATTACGTTGCCGCTGTTGCCACCAAGCGCTAGGATCCGACCGGGTTGGAAACTGCTCCAATAACAATATACTGCTTGGGAGATACTCATGATTAAACTGGCAGTAATTAACTCGACGTAATGATCGATAATATACAAGAAGGGAGAGTCGCCCCATCGAGCAAACACCCCGGCCGTGAGAAGGATGGTGCATATGAGACTATTGAAAGCTGGTGTTAAAAATGGACCCAATTTTTTTTTGAGCTGATTATTTTATTTCAGAATATCAAATACAGAGGAGCAGCTAAGGGGAACTGACCATTAATTTTATAAGATAATCGTGTACCATCTCTTAAGACAGTACCATCAACCGATTTGCCAGGGAGTACTAGCCAGCAGAGTACAAGGTACATATACCATCCAAGATAGACGTAGCAAGCCTCGAGACTGAAGAAGCTCGTCGTGTTCCATAGAGTCCGAAGGTCCAGGATTTTGGGACCCAGCAAACATCCAGTTTGAGGAGTACACGCCAGATTCAGCCAATAGGTGAAGAACGGGACCGATAAAGTAACGCCGAGCGCTCCGATCCGACCGCCGACTTGGAGGATGTTAAAAATGCATCATAACTATTGATCAGCTGAGATCGGATGTTGGCAACTCTTATGAGACTCAATCTCTGAAATACTTACATTCAAATTCGGTCGTCCTGGGGTTGACGACAGTTCGCTTGGTTGTTTCGGCTGCTTTTCCCATCTCCAGGAAATTTTGAAGCGAGCTTACAGATGCGATTGAGATTCCACCGGGCTGCTTGTTTGATTCCACCGGGCTGCTTGTTTGAGTATGAACGATTCTTGGGTATCAATTGTTTCGTGGTTCTTCAGAACCTTGTCCTTCGAGATGCGAAGCATGTTTACATCTGACAGGTGCGCCATTAACCTGAATATTCAAATGCACTGTCGGACAGGGTATCTCCGACAAGCTCTGCACGCTTCCGCACCCCATTGGGAAACACTTGGATTTATAAAGGAGTGTGATTGATTATTATGAGGATACATAGCTAATGTAAATGAATAATATGATGAAAAACAACACAATAAGCAAGAACAAAACGGGAGAAAGATAAAACGAAAAAATGAATGGACACAAGGAGAAGGAAGGGGGCGTGAAAAGACGGAAAGAAGGAAACGAAGAAGATAAAACGAAGAAATGAATTGACCCAAGAAATATGGAGGCACTGGTGTGCCAAATGTGCCAAAAAAATCAATAAATGAAAACCACTTTTTTGAACAAATCAACCGACCAAGCTACCCAAACAAGCACTGAAACATCCCTGGATAATGATGCACTTCCCTGCAGCCCCCTTTGACGGGCATCCATATTCTGCTTTTGCTTCCCTACACAGTATGTATAGCAGAAACCAGGTAATTGAAGGTCGATACCGTGGCCCCGACGGCAGCAACCTGAGAGCTAACACTACAAACAATACCAGTTTTGCCCCAGGAACAAATGGCAATTTGAGTGGTGGGAAATTGTTCAATTTCCTGAGGATTTTTTTACAAAATGACTCAGGAGTAAAAATCAGGCTAAAATGAGCTATTTTAGCCCAAAAATAGAAATGCCTCAAACTTTCCAAAATTAATTTTTAGCTCATTTGAGGCATTTTTAATTTTTGGCTAAAATGGACCATTTTAGCTTAATTTTTGGGGGTTGGAAAAACAACCCCCAAATTTTAGTTGCCGACTCCCAAATACGGTTGTCCGACATCAAAACAACTGATGAAGAAAGTATGGTTGAATATGACAACAAACCTCTTGAGATTCTTTGGCCAATCTTCTTGAACAATCAGAAAACTAAAGTGCTTCCTGATAAATGTCAGCTTAAAAATATAAAACAAGGCTATAAAAAGCCAGTAGCCAACCCCTCTTCATCTTCCAGAAAACTTGTTCCTCAACCGCTTCCCCGACAACCAAAACACAACTATGCAAAAAACAAGAAAAGCACTTGGAGAGAACAGTAAAATCATGAAAGGTTTTATTATTTTTCAAAAGGAGATTGCCAAGCCAGCACATCCACCTCTCAAAGTCTCTAGTGTTGTGGATGAACAACCTATTCTAGTTGACCCCAATATCCTTCAAGAAAGCTTAGAGCTCTGTGTTGAAACCCAGATCAATCAATATCTTTCTGCACCAAAGAAGTTAAAATCAAGCCCAAATACTGAAACCGTTTCTTGAGGACAATGGGAAGCTCTCAATTCAGCAATCATATCAGCTACATAAAGAGCTAAAGAGAAGCTGAAGAACGATCCCAAATTCAAGTATCCCCATTCCATGATTGCAATTCTCCACAAGTTTAATCAGTTGCAATATGAATTCACCCTGAACAAAATCAAATCACCCAGTGTTTCTGCTTCTCTTGCCACTGCCAAATCTGCAATCTGTTGTGCCCCAAAACCTGGGGGAATTTTGTTAGCACCAAGGAGTGGAATTTATCTATCAAGGATTATTTCCAAACAAGCTTGACATGTACTCAATCACAAGGAAATCTTTGTTACACAATCTGGGAACCACTCCAATCATCAATCTATACTGGAATATATCAAGATTCAAAAAGGTTTTTATGCTTGGGTGGCATCTAAAACTCCGGGTGAAGTAAGTCTCAAGATGATGCACATTTTCCTTTGGCTGTGAACTGATTTCATTCTTTTACGCATGGAATCTAGATCACAACTCTTTCCTTTAATTGTGAACATGTTAGCAACACATTACTTCCCAAGTTTGGAATCAACCAAACAACCATTTGTCCTACTGCTACACGCTGGATGGGCCGGCTTGGATTCAGTCCTCAAGAATACCACAAATTGTTGTATTAAGATGGACATGAAAGGCCCAATGTAGTTGAAGCTTGAAAGAAATACATTGAAGACTTTGATATGTATTGGAAGCATTCTTGGACTTATGGTGGAGACAACCTCAAGTATGCAAGCAAAGTCAATCCTGATGTCCTTGGTGATCAAAAGGAAACTGTCTTTATCTTTCATGACAAATCAAAGGTACATGCCAAGGAAAAACCTTGACTGGCCTGACTCTTGCCTGGAACAACTGAACTTTGTTCAAAGGATGCTGGCCAGTTGATCCATATATCTGAATTTATCTTAGAGTCAACTTGTCAATTGAAGCTCACTGAGGAGCAATTTCAATCTTCCCAATCTAATGCAAAGAAACCTGTTGAGATCTGAGCTTGATCCCTTTAGAACTCTAGCAGGACTCTTCCAAAGATCACGATTACATAATCCTCAGTTATTTTCCCAATGAAATCATTGGTCATAACCTTCAGCTATTTTCCCAATGACATTATTGGTGAAGTCAGACATAAATGAATCTCTCTTGTGAACTTGCTCTTGCTTCTTTCTCCCCATGAATCCTCAAAATCCTTTCTCAAGACTCTATTACTCTTTCTGAAGTCTTTGGATTCATCAACTTCTCTCGAAAAAACTCATCACCAATCTCATTCTTCCTTGTAGAGAAAAGTCAACTCTAATATTATTCTTTATCACAAACTCGTGTGATTCTCTTCTTAATCAACATTCTGCCGATCACTACACTTCCTTCACAGACTCGTGTGCTTCCTCTTCCTTCCAATCTTCCGCCGACTTTCAGCACGTCCGATTATCTTTCCTATCGTAGTAGGTCATCGACTCAATCCTTCTTCAACAACTCGACTGATCCCAACTGACATCTTTTTATCATTAGTTCTTTCTTGTCTTATCTCCTTTTTGGTCTTCTTTGTTGCATCCCTTGTTATTGTTGCTCCTGCCTTTAGGTACACTTTTCTTTCTGGTTTTTCTCATTGTTTTATTTCTTATTTGTTTCATCCTCTCACTGATCTGAAATAAATCCTTTAGTTTGACACTTAACAAAACCCACTTCAGCTGATGCCACAACTGTCATTTACCCTGGTTCAAACGGTGACAAGTGGTGGGATATGGAACAATTGTGCAATCAGGTTTCATCAAAATCAATCCCAATTTTTGAAGCCCTTCACCCTTATCAGTGGTGGGCCGCTACGCTACGCTACGCTTTTGGCCCAAAAAGCGTAGTGTAGCGGCGCTTTTTTTTCCTCAAAAAATTGTAGTGTTAGCTTATTTTTAGCGGGTTTTCGCTACGCTACGCTGCGCTACAGCGCTTTTAGCGGAAAAAGCGGCCAAAAACCGCTAAAAAGCGCTGTAGCGCAGCGTAGTGGGCCCTTTTTTGTGGCCCACACGCGTAGCGTTAGCGGTGTTGTGGCAGAATTCCGCTACGCTACGCTTAGCGCTAACAGGAATACCACTGCGTTACGCTACACTAACCGCTACGGTTAGTGTAGCGGCCCACCATTGCCCTCATGCACAGGCGGTTTTTTTTGTTTGCTTGTCAGCTCATGGTGCTTATGGTCTGTTGGCTCTCAGGGTTTGAAATATGAATCTCAATCCAGCTGGAAAGCAATCTCGGCTTTGAGACACCATCATACCATTGGATGATCTGTTTATACCCTCTTGTCTTCACGTTCAAATTCAGACCTTTTCTTATGATTCATCTCAACCAGATCCAAAAAAAGCCGGTGAACCCAAAGGTGTTTCAGCAATATTGCAGTAGAGAGGTCTATAGCAACATTAGACCCAAGAAATGGACCGTTCCAATAAACCTCCTTTGAAATTCAAGTGCAACTCATGCTCTCAATCTAGAATTTGAAAAGATGCAATTGCAAGATTGAGTTGCTTGATCAGAGAGGCTGAAGCCAACAGTATTTTTTTGTCAGAAGCTCAATGTGTTTGTGAGGCTCTTTCCAATGCCCAACTCAACAATGAAACTGAAACCATCAAGCCTTTGGGAAACCCTATCATTTCTGATACCAATAATTCCTGTTGCTGGTCCAAGATTATGTTGCTCCAGTCATATTTTGCAAACAAACAACCACTACTGCAAGCTACAATTGAAGAAGCAGGTCATTCTTTTTGCCCAAGTTTTACTGTGAACTCAATCCAATTGATTTTTTTTGGTCATATATCAAACACGCTTATCACAAAAACAATCATGTTTGCAAAAACTTTAACAATCACAAGGCCCGCTTTGAGATGGTATGACAATCTTTTCTGCTGGTAACAATAAGACAATACTTTCAACAAATAGACCAACAACCAACGCTGCCACAGATACGATACGCTGTGTGTATCAGGGAGAATTCTGCAAAGCTGCATGGCCAAAAACCAGATTTGTTGAATCTCCTTGCAAATAAAAGCAGATTGGTCAGATAGTTTTTTTTTTATTGGGGCTCAGATACATAGTGATACATGGCAGATACGGGCAGATACCGTATCTGTGGCAGCGTTGCAACAACTCTCAGCTTATCAACAGGGATTCAAAGGTCCCCAATCAGTCATATTGATGAAAAAATAAAAATCTCATTGATGCATCCCTCACCAAGCAGCAATGCAAATCAATATTCTCACTAATTAGAATTAGCTTCTCCTCTTTCTGTTTCTTTACTCTTGTGTCTCTGCTCTGGTCTTATCTCTAAAAAAACTCTGAAATGATGCAGTCAATCTCATGTTACATGTGTTGTAGGGAACTTGCAGCCACCAAATAAAGCCATAAGTATGGTTTTATACTGCCTAAACCCATAAATATGGAATTATACTGCCCATTTGCACTATGTGTCCAAAATATTTGAAATAAAGAAATAAATAGAACCGCTGGACAAAAACCTTAGCGGGCTTAGGTTTTGATTGTACATGGTTTGAAATGCTCAAAAATGTGGTCTACATGTGACTTTGAACCCGGTGGTTACAGAACACCCGGCCCAAGTCACAAAACCAACTTTTGCAGGCAGGGTGTTACAGTGGATTGCCCTGCGCAACTGTACACCTTGGCCAGCAAGGTCCCGGGCCCAGCCACACTTGTTGTTTACAGTGGGAAAATGATTGTCTGGTGATTAAACGGCACTCCAAGACAGTCAGCTGGAGTTGCACCCCAGAAATTTGAGGGTCCAGGATAGAAATCTGTGCAACAAGAAGCTGCCACTGTGATGGACTGGATCTATGTCTCAGAATTCCTGTTGGGTTCAGTTTTTCCCACTTCTCCATCCATTTCCGCTTCTTGATGTTCAATATGTAGGAGTGTAGAGTTGGTATTTGGTATGGATTACGGTAGGTGTGTCCTGGAGGAGGTAGAGGTAGGCTCCTCCGGCTGGCTGAGCTGCTGCCGAGTCACACCATGTGACCTAGGTCACAACACCCGCCCCCTCGGCAAGGCCCGAAGACACCTGATGGGGAGGTCCTAAGTATATACAAGCTGAGAGAAAAAATTTGAAAGAAGAATAAAGAAAGGCAGAAGAAATAAATAATCAAAAAAATAAGATGTAAGAAATGATGAGTAGGTTGAAAAAAAATTGGGAAGTGGGGAAGAGGATTGAAATTTGAAACAGGCTATGAATAAGTGGAACCATAGCCATCATCAAAACCACCACCAAAGCCACCATTTTCAAATTGTTCATTCCAGAAGGCAATGTCAGCATCTTATAAAGAACGCTGGTAATCATTGTCACACATGCTATGGCAGCTGGTGTAGCTGGTGTGTCTACCGCCAGGGAGGGTTCAATATCTAACATTGAGAAGCGGAAACGGATGGAGGCATGGGAAAATCTGAACCCAACACAAATTCTGGGTAGAGGAGACTCCAGTCCATATATAAGACTGTATCACAGCACTGGGCAGCAGCTTCCTGCTGCACCAACTGACCAGTTACCTCATGCGCATTGCAAGGCCACTGATCCCACAGGACTTGCTTGTGCCCATGAGATTGCATTGCAAGTCACAACTGAGGCTACAATTATAAACATGTTTTTCAGATTTTTTTTCAAAACGTTTTGAAACTGTCTTGGAATTTGTTTCTTTTTTTTTTTTTGAAATTGATAGCTCAATCAGTTTTCAAAACTGATTTGATAACGGTGTATAATCACAAACCCAAGCTCTGATTCAGCCGTTCTGACATTTGCAGACTTCTCTATGCCCAGGACACTAACCGGCAGACTGGGGAAAGGAGCAACATCTGAGCCAAAAAGCTGAATTCGAGGGAGGACAGGAAAGCGCCGATATCGGCCACTAAGCAAGGGTGGTGATTGGTGTTTCAGCACAAGGGTTCTGTAGCATTTATCCTAGAACACAGACCCGTACACAGACCTCTTGGCCGTTCCAAAAGATGAGAAATGTTCGAAATTAAAAAAAAAAATCAAACTCAAATCAACCCTCTGGGCCGATTTGAGATCTTTTTGAGAAAAACATAAGAATTATTTTTTGGGATTGAGTTCAAAACAAACTCAAAAGATTCTCAAAAAAAATCCCAAAAAGCTGTTTATAATTGTAGCCTGAGCTATCTGACACGTGCCCCACAAGTCACAGGAAAGTGCGATGGTTGGTGGTAGCGGTTTGAATATGACATTGGTATCAAACCTGGCCACTTGTCATGCCCGGGAAGCTGGGATCAGATTATGCTAGGAGATCAGGAGGAGAGCAAAGTCGATAGCGACACTACGGTCACCATCCACGTAATGAATCCTGAACTTGAATTGCTACCGCAAGCTGGCAAATGGATTACATAGGTGCATCGGTCACAGTGGTATCGATAGGGTGACACGGTTGCTTATTTGCCTTAACAGTCGACGTAGCATCGGGTGAAACTTCCTACCTAGGACGCTATGTGAGCTAGCTTACCCCTCTCGAGTCTTGGCTCATTGTCCTGGAGAAGGGCAACAATAATCTAAGGATTTGGGCGGGTTCAAGCCAGAATGGCTTTTTTCGTTTTGCCAACCGAGAATCCGAGACGGCACTGGCTAGGAAACGTATTCATTTCGAGGAATCAGGGGTGTTGGTCAAGCTTGCAGCTTTGGCCCTTGTGAGCAAACAGGACCGCGCCAACTGCTGAAGAATCTCGGGTATAAAACAAGTAGCTTACGCCACACCTATCACATAGCCATAAGTTTGTTCCACATCCTCGCAAATTTCTATCATTCAAAATTAAAATCTCCTCTGTCACTTCATTCACTATCCAATAGAATGTATCCAGTAAAGTCAAACTCACTCTTCGGGTTACTATCAGTTGCCACTCTCTCTCGGTGCGCACCCCTTTCAAGCTCTGACTTGAACCCTCTAACCTTTAACGGGGCAGTTAATCCATTAGTCAACTATTATCATTACGATAAACGCGCTAACGCAAAAGATGTTACCCGGTAAGGCCTGAAGTTCATTCAAAAGATAAGACCCAACACTAATTTACGATCTGTGACTTGTACTTTCTTGATTCAGAAAGGTACTTGCTGTCGCGGCGGTGGGTACCGTTGATACACTGACGATTGTAGGTGATTTGTTGAGGTTGCAAGAAGACCTAAGGACAATTGTCAGACAATTGGGGGTTTCTGGCTTGAGTAAGCATTGGAATTTCCTTCCTCAAACCATCTGATACCACATCCCCGGTCAAGCAGAATTATACACAAATATTGTGTCATAATTTCTCTTCAAATCAAAATACTAACCGAGGCGTCATTTCGAAATCCGATTTATTCTTCCTAGACCTTGCCGCTGACCAAGGCCAAAAGGCCATCCAAACTAGCGGGCAGGGAGCTAAGCCTGCTGTGAAGGACACTAGCCTAGACACCTCTTCGGCTACTCTTACCGATGCAAATCTTGTCGAGGATCAATCGATAAAATCAGATACAGACGTCAAGGAGAAACAAGCAGCTGACACAGCTCTGACTTCAAGTGATACAATTCTGGAACCTTCTATCAACACTCCGGAGATCACTTTGGAACCGGATGGCACACTTTCTCAGACTTCTGAAGAGGACATTAAAGAGACAGAGGATGAGCATTAGCATTTCTGTCTGACTATGTAAATTCCTCTCAGAAAAATTTCAAAGAGCGCAACCAGTGCATTTTTCTTTCTCACATCATCTTCTGTTTGTATTATTGATTGTAAATGTAAATAAGTAGAATTTTACTATTGAAGAAAGAAAAAAATCTTCATCAAAGGAAGAAGAAAAAATTCACCCTTTCTGATTGTAACTTAGACTTACATGAAGAGAGTATTGAACGAGTGAAAAGAAAGGTTGTGTACTGTGGGACTCGAACCCACAACCTCAGCATTCATGAGTGATGCTCTGACTATTGAGCTAAGTACGCATTGCTGATGTTGAATACATTGATGATGTATGCTTGTGAAATGTGATGATGACGTGGATCATGAAGAATTGCCTCCAATGCTGATTAGAAGTCTCACATGGATGTGTTAGCAATGTGTAACAAGCAGTGCCTGAGTTTGACACTTCAACATTCCCCCGTGCTTGTTACAGGGTTGCTAGCAAATGCTACCAATCTTAACAAGTTCAATTGTGAAGCAGCATGCGCTACCTGGGCTCATAACCTATTGAACGAGTGAAAAGAAAGGTTGTGTACTGTGGGACTCGAACCCACAACCTCAGCATTCATGAGTGATGCTCTGACTATTGACACAGCTGGCAGCCCGCTGTCGCTGCGGCTGCGTGCGACACCCTGTCGCTGCAAATCAAAGTTCGCTGCGACAGATCAGCTGCCGCGACAGCTGTGTGCGACAAATGCTCTATGTATGCGACAATTTCGCAAATGCATGCGACACATGAACCACAGTAACATTGATGGTTCCAGAACATTCATACATATATATTCATGTGTCACTCTAGCGATTGTGACTTGCTAGCTTTATCAGCTCATGCATGGATGAACATGCGCTGAAGAGACTGTAGCTCTTTGAATTCTTTTTCGACAAACTGCCCACAAGACCTTCTTCCAGCTATCAGTCCACATACATAGTTTACTCTCACTGCCACCTACCTTTCCTCTGCAACCTGAAAATTACAATATGCAAGCTTCTCAGAACCCCTGGGCTCCACCTGCCCAAACAAGCAACGTGCAAAACCCAACTGGCCAAGTCCATACCAATACTGTAGATGTTGGCCAAGCTATACAGCAAGCACTTGATCGGCAAGCTGCTAAGCATTCCGAAGAAATGTCAAACCTAGCAAAGCGGTTCGAAGCAAAACTCCTCGGCAAACAAAAAGGAACATCATCGAAGAAGAAGAACCCGACAAGCACCCAAGCCAACCAACCCAGCACCTCAACCTCCTCGAAGGGGAAGCAAAGCACTGTCCCTAAGGCCCCACCAGTTTCCACCCCTCGAAGATTCGATCAAGCTGCTTCTGCCCCACCTCAGAGTGTCAACGTTACCCCAAAGAACAAATCGAAGGGACCTCTCAAGTCTGTCAGGGAGACCATCGCCGAATCCAAAGGACAATCACCAAAACGACATCCTCAACAGATGCAGACTGGAGACTTTCCACCGGAGTTCACCACGACAAAGGTTTGTCTTTTGAAATTAATGATTTTATCTTGACATTATCAATGAAAACTGATTTTTTTTTTCTTGACAGAATGCGATGTTTATTCACATTAAGATCCTTTGGGGTCTTCTCAAGCAATCATCTGTCCCAAAGGCTCCTGAATTACGAGACCTTCAAGAATTCTACAACAAGTTTTCAAACGATGACCAAGTCAAAAATGCGGCTTCGTCGACTAAATCTCCTGCTATCATCAACTCGAGCGAAGTTCAATGTTTCAAGGATGTTCAAGCTGGCCGGATCAAACTGGGAAAATCGGTTATCCACATCCCAGACAACCAGGTTCGGTATGCTCGTGGACTTCTGACCCGACTTGGACTTCGAGTTTGGTGCCCTAACCTTGAAGAGGACGGATCGTCTCTGTACAATGCAGCTTGTCGCATTGCGGCCATCACTACATTTCAAGAAATGGCTGTTTCGCATGCATACGATTATCTCAACATCAACCCAAAGATGGTAACTGCGACCGATCTCCTTATCCAAGCATACAACCACTACGTCCACTTTGTTATATTTAAGAACTACAACAAAGAAAAGAAGGAAAGTGGAAAGATACAGAAGGACTCCGAAAAACGAAAACATCAAAAGAATCGAGAACGTGTAAGTTGATTTTTCTCTTCTTCATTGTTACATAATTCTTTTTAACTAACATTCATGCCCATCTCATCTTCAAACAGTTGAGAGATGACCGAGTCGCATTTGCAACGGCAAACAAGCTTCCTGGGCGCTACATCGAGATAATGCAACCAGTCGGTGCCCACAGCGATGACGAGGAATCCGAAAAGGGGAAATTCTGGAAGATCAAGACTCTCCCTTATCGTTCAGCAAACGTTGGAAAGTTCATGCGTTGATTAGATAACAGGATGATGGATTCATACATCCAAGAACCTAACCACAAGCGTCGAGTTCGTCGATTGCCTAAAGAACCGATCATTTCCAACTTCAAGGTGGCACCAAAGGGACTTGCTCTCGACTTCTATGATCCGGAATGGTTCAAGAAGCTATCTCCGGCTCAACAAAACACAATTCCGAACCGTAGTAAAGCTGCTCTTCTACCTGACGCAAACGAGTCACTCCTGCCCAAAGGCCAAACTCATCAGCACGAAAAGTTGGCAGACAGCACCTTTAACCGAATCTATGTGGATATTCACGCTTCTGCTTACGCACTTCCCGGTGGAGAAGAGGACGAGGCTTCATCTAGCGAAGAGAACGACGGTGAAGAGGAGGATGATGAAGGGGAAGGAGTTGACGACTCTGATTCTTCCGATGATGAATTTTTTGAAGAAGGTGATGCTGGAAATCTTTACGATCCACCAGCAACTTTCACTAACAATGAAGAAGTCGATGATGATGATGAGGAGGAGGAGGAGGAGGAGGAGGAGGAGGAGGAAGAAGAAGATACCAATGGTGAGATTATAGGGGCTGTTCACGATGACGATTATGATGAGGAAATGTATGGAGTCGATGGAGAGGCACAATGGTCCTAATCAAACAGATTACTGGAGTAACATTATTCAAAAAAATCAATCTCTTGGCCTGTTCTGCTCAACGGTGATTCAACTTTTTTTTCACTCCTCTTGCCTTAGACAAATTTGGTCTGTTCCATCCTCCTTATTGAATACACAAATTTTGTCTTGTTTCATTCCTCTTATCAAATACACGATCATTTTTCTTTTTTTTGACATTCCCCTTCAAATACATGAACGTGACCTTTTTCTTTCCTCTAATCCAATATATGAATCTTGTTTTTTTCTTCTTCCTCTCTTGCTACCCTCTCGAATACAAATCTCTTTTCCATTTGATATTATCATACACACAATCATCCCTGAAGAATGAATGCTTCCTACACAGTATAACCCGTTGTCACTGATTTCATTCCATCTATATTGGCTGCAATCATGAATGTTTCAGAAAATATATATTGATTTCGTCTGTTGGAGTAAAGCAAGAGAACATCATGAAAGAGTGAGATATATTCAAAATGAGGGAACAATGAAAAGTTAGCTAGTAGAGATGTCAAGAAATGGTTTACGATCTTGGGGGGTTAGAATTATTCCATTGTTTGGGATTCCTAATGTATTAGAAGGTAAAAAGCGATAGGCTGCCAGTGATATGACGTTGCGAGGATTGACAAACAACTTCTTTTCAGTATTTATTCTCCCAACAACACATTTATAGAGATACAGGAGATATCGGAAGCGAGTTGTTGGAAGGTTATGCCGTTTGGGGTATTGATCGAGTATCTCAGTGATCATGATGACCGATTGCTTCACTCTCAAGTGATCCGTGAAACTATAGATTTGCTGAATCAGGCCGTATCGGATTTTATTTACATTGTCTCTCCACAGTATACAGTTGTTTGGGTTCATAACTGTAACCCTCACATTGTCACCAGACATAACACTTTGCACCGAGGTTGCACACCCCATGAGTAGCTTGGCACCTTTGGGAACTGGGAACGTATCTTTGTGCTGGGCAGTTGGATCGGTTTGTCTGACAAATTCTAAAAGTGCGTCATAAACTGCATCGGAAAGGTATATCTGTGCAACGGATCTCCGATGATCATCAGGACCTTTTTCGTGCTCATGACCCACCATCTCAATATACTCTTCCTTGTCGAGTAGCCTCTGTAACTGAAGACCACGACACATCATAGTCACATTCATCTTATCTGAGACAGAATGCATCAATAGAAGAGGCATATGTCAGTAAAAATCTCACAGATAGCTATAGTAAACAACACGAAAGACCTACCAATTTGATGATTGGTGAGAATCTTCTGCAAGGAACCAATAAGCCTCTCCCCGGCAAACTCAGAAATCGATATCAGTGGCCCCCAGGTCCGAAGTTGTTTAGGAATATGAAGAGAAAAATGATGGTTCGGCTGGACCTTGGCTTCAGGGAACAACTCTGACATTGAGTCACTGTAGTGTTTGTAGGTGACCTCAAACCGCCTAATGTCAGTTTCTTTGAGAGATCTTGAGCATGCAATGTGTGTGCATTGAATCAAGTACCCAGTGTTGAACAGAAGTCGGGAGCGATTTGAGTCCTATGGCAGATTTCCTGGGTCATCAACAAAAAGGTCGAAGATTACCAGAGGAATTATATAAACGAATAGGCTGTACCATTGAGCAGCACTGAGTCGACCATGTTTCTCTTCGCCAAGGTTGGGTGGCAACCTTGATATTCCAGATGGGAGAACAATGGTTTTCATACTATTCTGAAACCGTTCGATATCGTCTTGTGTGAAAAATTTTCCATTGGGGCCAGCGTCGAGCAAGATGTCGTTATCCTCATCATCATCACTGTCTTCTTCATCAGATGGTGAACCAAGTAACATAAGTGAAGTGTCTGTCCTTGCACGTTTGTGGAGTCGGTTGGTGGAAGCATTGACTCGGCACTTTCTTTTTTTGATGTCTGTTGTGGAAAGATGGAATCCCCAGCGGTATCGGAAATGTGTTTGGAGAAGCCCCTCAAGCCAGTTGTGCATCACCCCCAAGACAACATGTTGACTTGGATCCCAGTAGGGGAGTCGGTTAAGATCTGACCATCGGACTCCAGATTTTTTCAGCAATTCTTCTTGTGCGTAGCTCGATTTTGCGGTTGTCATTTTTTTTGCAGCGGAAATCGTGGGATCTTTCTTTCGAGGTGGTCCAAGTTGTAGCGACGCTAGGTTGACTGATTTAGCCAGGCACCAAGAACAAAAGTAGGTTGCATTGTGAGCTGCGAAACCAGCAGCCTTTTTTGTTGCAAGAACATCGCCAACAACACAAAGAAGTTTTACTTGAACAAATCGATTGCTTGGATACTGAATAGTTGGAATTTGGATCCCCGATTCGAGTTCGATAAGCTCATCGATATGAGGTCTCATCAGATGATTGACGGTGTCTGGATTTGGTGAATTCGGCCCCGGAGAGATTGCAGCCAAACATATGTGGGACGGTTTGTTGCGGATATCGGGGGGAAGGTTGAGGCATGTAAAAGTGATGACTCCAGTTGATTCGACTTTGCCACCAATCTTGAGTCCTCTTGGATTGAACCAATCTATGAACATAGATAGTACAATATTCAACGAGTTCGGTTTCGCGTGCCATTTGACATTCTTGAAGCTGGTACCGTGTTGTATGTCCGTCATTCGATCAGCACTTCTGATATCATTTGACCACTTCTCAATAGCCTCCTCGATTCCTGGCTTGCTTAGAAGCCACGTCAACCAAGCAGTAATAGTTTGTCTGGCATAGATACACCGTGGTGCACCTATCGATGAAGGTTGGACGTCTGAGGGCTTTCGGGGTCGCACACCAAGATCCTTTAATCCACAAAACACTTTCTTCTGGATAAACAATGATTCATTGCATGGAGTTGAGGTGGAGAATTCTTGATAATTGCAGAAAAGAGGGCAAGATCGATCGTCTTTGTAGGTCTTGAAACACGTTCGACAGCAAATCTCCGCGACCATTTCAACACCAAGGTGGGAATTTTTGAGGATCGTGCGAGGATCAGTCGGCACCTTGTTGAGCATCGTGATCGGAATCGAACTCTTTTGAGACTCCCTGATGATATTGAGAACAATCCGGAGAGCAACAGCGCATTTTTCCCTACCAAGATTACAGAATATATTAAGCCAACATATGAACATGTAGATGAAGTCTTTCAAAAGGAAAACAAAATCAGTGATCAGTTTAAGTGGATTATGCCCATTATTTGAAAGATTAAACAGAACTACTAACAAATGAGACGGTTGTGTTTCTCATAAGGAAACATTTCGTTATATTCCGACGAGTCGGTTATCAAAGCGGATTCAGTTTCTTCATTGTCGGTGGTTCCAGGTTCGGACGGAAGTGCAACAGGCTTCGTGAAATCAGACAAACGATGTTTGGCTTCATTTCGAGAGGAGATGTGTTTTCCGTATATCTCCTGACCGTCGGAATCATATCCAACGAGATTGATGCGGCAAACTGAACATTGGCATAGAACCATTGCAAAAGTGATCCGGAGTGCTTGAAACTAGAGAAAACAAGGTTGACGAGGCTCCTGTGAGATCGGTTGGGCCGCTTTGGAGAGGACGGATTGAAGTGAGTTGTTTGAGATTGATGTTGTTGGGTTGATCGTGCAACGAGACTGGACCCCAAAGATATGAATTTGAAGTGCTTCTGATGATACTGTTTTGAGACCTACAAGCAGGCGGTCATCATCCCGATCACTAACAAGCTGTTGGTCTCAAAACAATTTCACCTAGCCACAAAAGCAAGGGTGTTCAATCGCGAATCAGAAGAGGGCTGGGTATTGGGCTACTTGCGAATCCGAAGGGTCGAAGTAATGATGCACTGGTTTGTTGGGATAAAAGGAGGTGGCACCGACGATTCTTGACTGTCCAGTGGTGTCTTTTGTCGCGTCGGCGTTGAGAATGATCGAGGTGTGAAATAGTTGACCAGGCTAGAGGCGAACACAAGGCGCTTAATTGAGAGTCTAGAGACGGATGGGTTTCGGTTCGCTTAGAAGGAAGACCAACGGTCTAATCGATGATGGGTGCCGAGGATTAGTGACTGATCGGCTGGTGTCTAGTATCTACTGTCGCATCGGTGTTCAACTCAGTCGCACCCAAGTTTGGTCTGTCGCTGCGGATGTCGCAGCAGGATGCGGGCTCAAAGTTGAACTCGATCCGCAGCGACAGGTGTCGCAGCAAGCCGATGCGACAGCCGATTGACAGCTGTGTGAGCTAAGTACGCATTGCTGATGTTGAATACATTGATGATGTATGCTTGTGAAATGTGATGATGACGTGGATCATGAAGAATTGCCTCCAATGCTGATTAGAAGTCTCACATGGATGTGTTAGCAATGTGTAACAAGCAGTGCCTGAGTTTGACACTTCAACAGAGAGCTGAATTTGGATCACCATGCAGAAGTGTCAAGTTGGATAGGGCTGCATGGACAAGTCGTTTTTTATCCGATGGTTTTACATGGCAAGTAGATTACCCAATTACAATTGTGAAACAATCTCATGCCTACAAGAAGAATTTAAATGGAGCCACTTTTGATTCTTTATCTTCCTCAAGTCGAGGTTCATTGAGGCCTTATTTGATCATAAATAGTTACCCTTGCCGCGAGTTGTGTGTACCCACCCAAAGGGAGAGCCCTTCTTCTGTGGGTTAAGACAGGTTTTGCATAGGGGTAAAACCGTGTCATAACCCACTATAAATAGATCCATACCTATCTATATCCATGAAAGAAATCCTTTGGATAGATATTTCACAAGATTTTGTCCTCTGGTAATCCTAGAATTTAATTCAGAGAAAACATCCAATGTGTCAATTAGGCCAAGAGATGTGGGTTACGGCCCACGTCAGGTTGATTAATTGCACTTCCCCTTTCTTTTGGCTCTAATGCCCAAATTGGTGTCGGTCTAGGGGGTTGTGGATCACGAGGGCTATGTCATCAATTTGAACAGTCAAACTGTGGGTGTTGATAGGGGTATGTCCTAGTGGGTTGAGTTGAACGTCACAGCTTTCCTGCGAAGGAACCCGAGCAACCCTCTCGTAAGAAACTAGAACTGGTTGAATCGTCGGTAAGAATTGATCATACCCAGGCACCGAGCCCGGTAGTCTTGAGGTTGATAGCGAACCATCGTGATTGGTTACGTCGCTATTCTCTTTTATAAAGAAAACCCCCGAAGCAAGAGGTGATTGCAACAAGCCCAGTAACTTCGTTCTAGTAGCTACCAAGATAGGTTGTAAAAACAAATGACGTGAAACCCTGTTATGTGAAGTTGCACAACCCAGTCGGCGATAAAGCAACTGAGTCGGTTGTTGACAGTTGAATTGTCGAGTGGGACTTGATGATCACCACGTCTACTTGACGGCGGACGATACGCTTATCTTGAGATGCAGTTGAGCCAGCCGTTCCCGGACACCAAAAGGTGCTATGTTGGCTAGTGACCAGATCTGATGCGATGTTATGATGATCACAGGTGAAGGGAGCTTATGTCTTGGTCTCCAAGACTGACGCTCGGATACTTCTTTCCAAAAATGGGTCACCCATGTAAACCGGGACGCCGTTGGAATAGGCCGAACCAGCAACACCCTATCTTGCAAAGAATTTGTTGCTCTACGCTGTTGGTGGCTATGGAACATATCCATGGCTCGGTGTTGATGTCCTTCTGCATCCTGACTACGGCAGTTAACAGGCGAGTCACTTTTTCTGTTCTGCGTAGCACCCGCTACAGCCTCCTACTATTTTCTCTTGTCCTCCTTGGGCAGGCTTCACAGATATAAATTAACTGATCAGGTTGCTCATGAAAATGTGGATCATTCCAGCATCCGCTACCTCCACTTGACCTATAAAAAGTTATCAATAAGATTGCACCATACATAGTTTATAAATATATTCTCTAGCATAGACTATAAGATCCACGTTTTTCGAATCAAGACTTTTTGCAAGTTTTCGGTCAAGATGCATGCAGGAAATTCAAAAATAGTCATAGGCTTATTGTGTGCCGTCACTATAGTTCTGTGCAAACCACTTCCTTCGGTCTCCCCGACTTTCAACTCTGGAAGCGATGAAGTCCCACCAACGCCCGTCTTGAACACCTTCAGTATCTTACAAAGACGAAACAAGGCAGGGGACATCGTTGGGTAAGTCACCCTTTTTTCTTCATCTGCCAATTAGCTATCAAGCGGAATGCTGTGCTTGAAATTCACGAATGATTTCTGATTCTCTCTATAGGAAAGTGCGTGCTGTCGTTGACACCGGTAACTCAGGAGTTCCAAAGCTTCTGGGTGATCTCCAAAAGCTACAAAAAGATCTTGAAGGTATCATCGCCCAATTGAAGGGGGCTGGTTTGGGTGAGCAAACCTTCCGCGATACTTATAACTCTTTAAACTCAAAAGTATAACGAGTCATGAGTCAGATTCAGTGGAAGCTGAAATGAAATTTGAATGGATTCTTTGGAACTCCAGGGACCAAGAAAGATCCAAAAGCGCAAGACTTGAAGCAAGACGAAGTGACGGTTGCGGCTCCGACCTCCGAGATAAAGCTGACGGAGGCGGATCCCGTGACCAAGCCCGACCCGGCTCCTAAGAAACCAGACCCGACGGATCCGGCTACCAAAACCGATGCAGTTTCCAAGAAACCAGAGACGGCGGATCCAGGCACCACAACTGACCTGGCGCCCAAGAAACCAGAGACAACAACTCCGGCCCCGGAAACTCCGCCAGTCACCGCTCCCGCGCCCGGAGGAAGTAACCCTTAAACTGGGATCTTCAAAATCATCGATGGTCAGGATCTTATAATCTCTCTCTCTTTTAGATGAGAAAGTTTCAGAATACTAGTATATCAGTGGCGATCGGCTCCACCTGTCTCTAAATATCTCTCTAGCCATGCTTGATGTATGAAGCTTTGTGCTGGGCAAGGAAACAAAAACATCTTGCCTTTTTTTTGAAGAAAAAAAATCTTTTGTTGATATGTATTTTGATTTTACTTTTCCTCTCTTCTACATATAAACACTGTGTAACAACAAATTGTAATTTTAGTGTCTGTACAAGATGTGAATAAGTGTAATATAATAAGTTCCTTTTTTTGCCCCTTGATCAAGAGTTTTCCTTAAATTCTGAGCAGAGTCTAGATACTGATCATGAATAGAGAACTCAGAATGCATCATCTATGAACAGTAGGAATAATATTGGAGGGAATCAATTCTTCACAATTTTCCTAATTGAAAGTCTGCTTGATTGACCCGGACCTGATGAGCAAGTCCCTATACAGTCAAAACCAGCTCATGTGACTAAGGAGCAAATGATTTGATTTAGAAATGATAATTTCACTTGTCCAATTGACAGGATCTATGTGGCAGTAATCCTCCTCATTTCACATGTACCTGATCAGACACTTCCTGTCAAAAATAATCAAGGGTCCATCTTCCGGTATTTGAGGACATTCCAGCTGGAGAGAGTAGTAGTATCACTATCATCTACCTTACCCTCATCTGCATCAACAGTCTTTTTTTTTGAAATCCAGCTCAATCAGCATCTAAATCACTGCTTTAAATGTACTCATAGTAAAAAGTTCCTCCAGCTGATCTTATAAGAGCTTGGATGATAGTCAAAGAAGTGGATATCCTTCCTCACAAAGATGAAATTACACTTAAATAAAAAAGAATCTCCAAGTTGTTGTTTTGTTTTCTTCTTTCTGAGAATAAAAAAAGTCTGATCCTCTAGTCCAGATATCTCACAATAGCGCTATGATGATATAATCATAGTTATGAGTCATGACTATGATCTAACTTAACCAAGTCCCCCCTGGTGGGAGGTTTGCTGGTGTAAAGCACTGGCTGGTGGCAAAGCCACCCCTCCCAAAGGGAGGGACTTATGACCTTTGTGGGGGTGCTTGCCTGAGGGAATCTTTGGAAAGCAGGTCCAGTTTCCAGAGGCTGTAGCTCAAAGGACAATCGAGCTACATGTATGGTTCTGCAGAGAGTAAGATGCACTTGCATCCTGGCTTGCCTTCTGTCAACTCCGCTTCTGAAGATATATCTTCACTCAAAAGAGCAAAGCAGAAAAAAAAGAAATAAAAACTTACCATACTTGAGCCCGGGGGCCCAAGCACAGCCTGAGATGGGTGTGGTCTTGACTTGTCTTGACAGGCTTCAAAAACTTGCTAAAAAAACCCTTGTGGGTATCTAGATGAGGTTGTGGGCTTTGAAAATCACAACAGCATTGTTTCTTTTAAGTTTTGGTTGCTGGGATTGACAGCATCAAAACTACAGGCTGGAACATTCAAATAGCAGATTTCCAGCGTGTTTTGGTGAGTGGACTCAGGCAAGCACCCCCACAAAGTTTGCAAGTCCCTCCCATGAGCGGGAGGGGTGGCTTTGCCACCAGCCAAACTTAAGCTCCACCCAGAACTCAGGATGTAAATGGGCCGTGTTTGGGTCTGAAAACAGTGCCCAAACCCGACCCGGGGAGCATTACGGGTTGGGCCGGGTTGGGTCAAATTTGGGAAACTTGTGCCCAAACCTGAACCCGGATTCCATGAGTCGGGTCTGGGTCGGACCCGGATAATTGTTGTGATAACCAAGTTTTTTTTCATATTTGAATAAGGGCCTTAATAAAAAAAAACCCGCATTTTCCGCGTTTTGACGCGCTTTTGCTGCGGCACAGCACACGCGCATTCCGTGTTTAAACCCGCATTTTTAATTAATTTATTTTTGCCATTAATTTTATTTTATTTTTAAGTTTTTAAAATTGCTTCCTAGGTGAAAAAGTGCGTAGAATTTAATGGTGAAGTCCATTTTCCAATAAAATGACTTTTGATTATTAATTTTTTTTTTCCACTTATTTTTCAATTAATCGTTTACATACATGTTTCTACCTCATTTTTTATGCTTTTTTGAAATTTTAAATTTATTTCCTAGGTTTCAATGTGTGTAGAATTTAATGGTGTAATCCAAATTTTTCAAAACTCAGCGATTCATTTTTAATA